ATAGACATCCCAAGAACAAAACAATCTGCGCAGAAACGGAAAGATCACTTGGTTTGCGCCGGTAGGTGTGGCGTACACTTCAAACCTGCACGGCTCGAATTGGCCCAGGGTTCTTTTGTTTCTGGGATGTCTATAGAGTTAAAATTATTCATTTCATACTACACTTGACTTTGATTAATTTACTAATATTTTTAGAAAGAAAATCATTTTTACTTCTAGTTTAAGGAAATATTTGAGTGAAAAGCCAATCTGAATAGTGGAAATTCGCTTAATCCGCAGATTTGCTGTGGCGGGGGTATTATATTACTCATATAACAGTGCCAATCAAAAATGAACTGAAACATTTTCCTTGTCTTTTAATAGTGAAAATCTTACAATTTTCCTAATGGTTTGTTGAATATTAATTATTGGGCTTGGATTACGTGTAAATTTCCTCCCGTTTTTCATGTTTGCTGAGACTGGGCTTAAGATATAATTTAAATATCTCATTTCATATTTTGCAATGGGAAGGTCACAAGATTTATTTAGCCGTCTATGATTGCTTCATCCATTCAAGAGGAGTATTTGTAAAACAAAATCAGGAGTGTAGTATAAGAGCTTTGCTCGCTACGCTAAGGGTAAAAACAGACAGACAGCGGAGCGGTGTACCACGTCACGTCCGCTCCGCTTGTCCGAAGCGTTCACTGCGCACACAGGATGCGCAGCGGATCGGCAGCGGCGAGCGTCTAGCCCGCCCATAATCACCATGGCGTTGTCCAAAAGTCAACGTACTTTATTGCTCTGTGAAAATACTTATTTAAAATGGTTTGCTTTGCGAGGTGTAGGCAGGAAACAGTGGGTTCATGAATTGAATGAAGTGAGACAACAATTTGGTGAGTATCACCACTTGTTTAAAGAGTTAAAAAACTTTGACAAACGATTTTTTGAGTACATGCGCATGTCAATCGGTACTTTTGACTACATCTTATCAAAAGTTAAAGATGGCCTTGAGAAGCAAGTAACTAATTGGAGAAAGCCGATAAGTGCCGAGGAGAGACTTGTTGTTACTTTAAGGTAAGCTGTTATTTAACTTTGTTATGCCACTTTAGTTTGTAAAGATAAAAACTTGCGTGCATGTATAGTTAAGATGAGTTATTTTATTTGTATAAACAAACAAATACGTTATTGTCCGAGGGGACATGTCAAATTTTAAAATCGATTGATATCACACAAATACACATAGTTCACAAACACGTTTATTTGGGTAGGCCTACCACACGTAAAAATACACTCGCCGCGGCACACCCGGAAGCAGCTGCTTCCGGGAAGTGCCACGGCGAGAGTATTATTTGCGTGTGATACTTCCGGTTTTTGCGGATTTAGTCAGATATTTAAAGTCTGATTAAAATTATTTTTTACATATTGTTGTTCGTGATAAATGTCCGCACAAAATTTTTACCCACAAGGTTATACATACAACGAGACAAGTAGTATTATAGTAATATATACCTTTTTAGAAAAATTAAACTGTATGACTTTATTGTTAGGGTACATTAAAGATGCACATTATAAGTTGCAGTAACATTTTATTCACTTAAAAAATGCATGATTAATAAACAATTACACAATTGTACACAGTTGGTTACACAATATTTTTTTATTCAAGACTGGCAGATCTTAAGTATACAATTATAAGTGTTACATTAATTTGTCAGTTTTCATTCGATTACATTATGTAGACCGTAGGCCTGCTGATGGTCGTACTGTGGAGACCATGAATTATTGTAGTCGAAGGTAGTCAAGCTTGTACTCGTAGATCTCCCAGAAGGGGGGCGTTCGCTGGTTTCATCAATGATTACCTGAGTTAGCTTGTTTCTCACTTTGAGTTTTCTTAGTGGATCCAAACTCTGTAGATGAGGAAGCAGACTCATCAGAAATTGGTAATCTTCCGAGTCGTCATCATGCTGTCTGTTTGTATTCTTCAACAAATCAATTTTTTTTTCTTCCAACAGAAGCATTTTTTTTGCTACTGTATCTTGAACTGTCTCCTTCCGTTTGCGGGATACTTTTGTAGTAGGTAAAGTATCTTGTTGCTCGTCAAGTAGAGCGTCACTGTCGTCAATTTCAGGAGGTCTTTGGTTGGAATTCTGACAGTCAGGCGAATCAATGTCGTTTTCATCTGTGTTAACAGTTTCCATGATGACTTTTACTTTACTACAACCAGTTGATTTTTCCAAATTACCTGACATCGGAATGGTGTTCACTTCATCCTTCATGAAATCCAGCAGAGTGAAATAAGGCCAGCTTGATGTTTGAATAGACCCACCTTCGTCACCAGACTTACTTTTCATAGCTTTCCTCAACTCTTTGCGGTAGTTATCTTTGAGATATTTCCATTTTGAGCGGGCAGCATCTTCTGAAAATAAAAAAAAGTATATAAAAACTGATAATGATTAAAAAAACTTAATTTTTTTCTTAAGTCACATTTATTGGTGAAAAGTAAACTATTTAAAAATTAAAAAAAATTTATTAACTGATTTATTTAAACACTTTAATGGTTTAAATTAACTCCTCGGACCCTTTAATTGTTTCCCTTTACTTTCTATCATAACTAACTATTTTTTACCATCTAAGTCTCGGGGGTTTTTTTTTTTTTAGGTACTTAGCAACTGGTGCTCAGTTCAAGATGTTGGCTTTCTCTTTCCGTATGGGTGCCTCCACAGTGAAAGCCATTGTGTTGGAAACTTGCAAAGTTATTTGGAAGAACCTTCTCAAAGACCATATGCCACAACCTACTGCAGAAATGATGGAGAAGTCCAAAGCTGGATTTTGGGAACTATGGAACTTCCCCAACTGCGTGGGAGCACTGGACGGCAAACATTGTAGGGTAAAATCTCCACCACATTCGGGATCTGCATACTACAATTATAAGAAGTTTTTTTCTATTTTACTTCAAGGTGTCTCTGATCCAGACTATAAATTTCTTGCAGTTGAAGTAGGTGGGAAAGGAAGGCAAAATGACGCCGGTACATTTTCCACGTCAGCACTATATGACTGCCTTCAAAATAAGAGCTTCAATATTCCTCCAGATTCTACGCTACCACAGTCAAACGTCAAAGTCCCTAATGTACTTGTTGCTGACGAAGCTTACCCGTTAAAACCCTATCTGTTGAAGCCATATGCAAGAGTAAATCTAACGCCTGCAAAAACTGTTTTCAACTACAGACTGTCGCGTGCCCGAAGGTGCATTGAGTGTGCGTTTGGTATTTTGTTTGCCAAGTGGCGTATTCTAGGTAAGGACATAGAAACCAGCGTTGAGAATGCTGCGCACATAATTAAGTGTGCTTGCCTACTTCACAACGTGGTGAGGGACAGAGACGGTGATAGTGATCCAGTGTTCAGGGAGGTGCGTTTCTCAGCGCGGAGAGGCGGTCCCATCCACATGCATCGAAGAAACAACAGGTACACTACCAGAGCTCAGAAAGTTCGTGACATGTTTGCTGAGTACCTCAAGACACAATAGATTTTGAAAGGGGACTACAGTGCATTCTAGCAGTGTTGACTTAGTACTTTTCTTTTGAATACATCCTTATGTACCTTTTACGAAGACATCAAGTTAATTTTTATTTTACAAGAGTTTTTTACGCCTCCCCCTACGCGGCTCCTTATGGATATGCTTCCGCCCTTAAGACTTACATTCACTAATTGTTATGTAATTTAACCTTGTTGAAATGTATGTATCTCGTTAACTCATGTGCAAATTATTGTTCATGTTAATAAATATGTTATTGCACTTAAGTATTGGTATTTGTAACCTACTGCTACATCTTCTATAAGAATAAAATAGGATGTTGGTTTGTATTTCTTTTTAGCATTGATAAACTCAAACACTGCTAGACCTATGGTCACGAAACTAGGTATACACTGTATATGTATAGTTTTACGGAGAAGGTTTATAGACCATCCATTTCGCTCTAACACAATTGGATTCCTACCCAGAGGCCCAAAAGAGATCCTATATTAACCTTATGGTAAGATAATGCTGTTTAAAAAAAGCAAATGGCATGTTTACTTGAACAGGTGAATAAAAAACACATGTTCTTTGTTCAAATATGGTCTGTGATTTAAAACAGTTACCAATGTCAACAAGAGAATGCAGCACAGAGTGTTTCTGTAAATATAAAATGTCTAAGGAACTAGTATACAGATTATCAAAGTCTTAGTACTTGATGTGAACCAAAATCTTAAACTATTCTTATTGATAATTATTTATATTTACTTACTTGTTGTGTTCAGAGAATTCGCAATACGTTCCCACGCTGCATCAATGACCCCACGGTTGTGGTGCAATTTATGACGTGTCTGCCATATTGCATGACGTTCATGAACTTCTGCTATTAACTGCTCAATATCAATTGTCGCCATAGTCCCAACTCACAAAACACTACAGCACAACACGCAAAGACAGGGAATACGCTACTGACACCGCTCCTGAACGCTTGGAAAAAACAAACTGAGTTGTTTCGAGCCTCTCCGCTCCGCTACGCTCCAATACGCTCCGCTCCGCGACGCTGCTAGTGTGCGAGGTCTCATTTAACATAATGGTTTTGTTTCTTCCGCTCCGCTGTCTGTCTGTTTTTACCCTAAGGCTGCTGTGGAGGCATATTTACAGACTTCTCACCAAAGTTCTGAAAATGTTAATATAACATTTACACCATGAACATATATCGTGAAAATTTAGATTATCACATTAGAGAGGACTAATTAAAGAGTTAAAGTTTAAACTAACTAACTAACTTAACTTTATGATGAAGTATAAGAGAAATATAAGACAATATTATTTCTACAACAGTTCGACTTGGTTTAAGGGTTTGCGTATTCAACAGAAATTGGTAATTTACAAAAGCACACTTTGTCGTTGGCTCAAATCAACTACGTCTATTTTAATTCCTAAACTACCAACAACTTTAACACGGGGTTGGAATGTCTAGTTCCATCAATCGTCAGAGAGTTACACTTACCGGATAAGCGAAGGGTTGAAAGTTGTTGGGTACAAGGGGAGGGGGAGGATAATCTCTAAACCCTGGAGGTCTAGGGCCTAAGCTATCACTGCTGAGGTTGTTATCTCCACCAAACAGCAATGCGTCCACACTCTTTGCCTGCTCATCTTCACGCATAACCTGCAATACAAAAGTGTTGAAGGTATTTCTACACATTCAGTTTCTGTAATGTTGTGTTTAATAGCTAGTTGTGCTATTTAATATTTAAATTTGTTTGTGTATTTTTGAGACTCAAGACTATGGTTGAGTGTTAAGTCAGAAACTGTAGGTAAGATGTCAACCATTGTTCAGACACATGACTCAAGGCTCGATGGGAGCTAAGGTTTGTGGTCCGGCTACATCTTATTGGAAAGAACATATAGTTTCATTCACATAGGCTACTTGAAGAACAAATAATTTCTTGTATAAAGTATAATTCAATTTAGACAGCCTACAGATATTTGAAATAAAATGGTTATGCATTTCCTAAAAAAAATTTGCTTTAACATACAAGGTTTATAAAACCCCTCAAAATGTCCATAGAGAATACACTACCACCATTACTACATTACCATCACTACACGCAAACAACAGATGTAAATTTATTTCCCAGCAGATTACTACAAAACTTTGTCCAATTAGTTTTTTATCAATATTAATTTTGGATATATTTAAAACAGTACCAATAGGCTACTATAGATTAAGTTCAAATTTAGTAGGCTTTATAATTCATAGATGCATAGCAGGATGGTGGTATGATCTAATTTATGCAGTAGGCATACCTGAGGGTCAGGTTCATAAGGCACGTTGTAGTTTTTGGCAATTTCAATTAAGTACTTCTCCACCAATATCTTTGGAGGTGCTTGAATGCTCATTTTATGTTTCAACTTCTCTGAAATTGTCTCCACCGCATCTAAGCGACAGGCCTGAAATAATTCACAGGATACCTTACCATGTTTATTTTATTACTAACGCATTAGCTGCGCTCTACATACATGTTTGAGTTTATCATAGTTTTTACAAAAGCTGTCAGAAATTTACAGATGTTATGTTACAGACTGGGACGGTTGCGTTGTCCTGTAATCCAGCTACTAGGAGGTCACGAATTGTGGATATTTATAGGCATGGACTGTGGATGCAATACTCCCTGTGTGGATTAACGTCTGCACTAGTTAGTACCCTCCTGTGATGATGCTTCGAACAACTATTTTTGATACGAGATCCAGAGGTTTCGTATCGTAAAAGGAAAAATACTACTAATTCGAACAGTGTGTTACGAGATCTTACCTTGTTCATTTCATGTTTACTAGCTGTTTCATCAAGAAAAATGCATTCTGTATGTACAAGTTTAATTTCCTTACGATAATTGTACGTCGAACTATCAATGTCGTAAATTAAGGGAAAAAGCCAAATTATGGGTCCCGCACTACGGGCTAGGTACGATACGGGACCTCGGGATCTCGTAACACAGTGAACATGTTAAAGTTAATAAACATACCCTTTTTCACAGAATAATTTTTTTTACAAGTTTTATGACCATAATTGTAGTGACGTATATATACGTCTAATACTCACCAAGGAATGAAATTAACCTGTCATACGTCTAACGCTTGTAAATTTCGTTTAGGAAAAACTTTTCTTTTTAATAAACTAACTGTTAAAAAGGTTAATTAAATAAAAAATCATGGTAAGAACAATATGACGTCTTTTTTACTACCACAAGACAAAACATTCTTATCCATAATACAATAAAAATATTTATTACGATCATTCAATCTAAACGTCATCTTCAATAAACAACACAGCACATCCTAAAGCACTGAACATTCCACCAATCTTTATCTTACTAGATTTATTCACTCAAGAACATGTAAACAGGCTGTCTGTGCGAAACAATGGCACAAGTATGACTCAGCGGCCGGTTTTGTTATCTAAACAATTAAATAGGCCTATTAATTAATGGCCTAAAGTAACTGTTGACCGCCAAGAAACAAATTTAAAATACATAAATTATATTTAACATGTTTTGTCATATATCTTATATGTCCTACGCTTATGACCTTCATATTGAGTCCGTATACGTCCAACGATTGGGAAGGTTTAATGACGATATTCTCTCTTCTAACTTGTTCTAATTGGTAGGCCAAAGGATTTTGCCACACTATAAAACAATACCTAACATGAATTCACTTAAAAAGTTACCGATCGATCAAGTGAATTTTATCAGTACGCTTACCAATTGATTGAAAACTAACCTCAGTATACTTCTTGCCATATTTGATAGTGAGCTGGTCACTAATGACTTTCATTTCCGAGATGTCACTGGTCAAATGTGGCGCCACCCATAGCAAGCTGGATATGGCTTCTGCTAAACTTGGTTCAATTCCTCTGAAAAGTCATAATTTATATTTTTGTAGCCTAAATGATATTAGAACAGTAAGAATCTTATAAGTAAAAAATTGCAAAAATTTGTCTAGGTGTATTGATGTAAGCTAAGTTAAGAGTGGTACATTACACAGATCAATGTTTTATTAAGAAAATAAACAAAATAACGATTTTCCTTTTCAATCTGTTTAAATAAGCAGTAGCTAACTTAACTTACAGCTACACTGGTTATAATGGCATTTTCCCCACAACCTAACATATTCTACATGGGCCCTAACCTAGGCCTACACGTAGGCTGACTTAAATAGACTAACCATCAAAAGTCAGACTTCTCATCCCATTGTAAATTTTGAAGCTTGTTTTACGTGGCTAGTTCATGTCCAGTGACACTGATCGCAAGTGTCGACAAAATTTTGTTTAGCTATAAGTTAATTTTAGGGTTGATGATTTTTTTTAATGATTTTTTCTTTACTGTTTAGCTGTTTTGTTTAGCTAAACGAGGTTGCCTAGGCAGAGCGCATACTTCAGCTTATCATTCTCAATACCTCGTCGTTGATTTTGACCTTGGTATCAATATAGCTTCTTGGAAACGGGTTTAGACAAATGAACCATTTCTTGGATAATGAAATGTAGTGGAGAGAGTCAATGCCACAAATAGATGTGAGTTGCGGTCCAAACAATCGAAAATCTGCTAACAATTTGACATTGTCTGCTTATTTAAGTTACAGTTCTGAATACAGTTTCTTAACTCAGAGGCTACGCTAATATCGATTAGGTTAGTACTGGTAGGCTTAAACCTTTAAGGCCTATTTGATTTTTTAATCATCTGCGTTCTGGCTAGATTCTTAACTGGGCTATGCTAATCTCGATTGAAACTATTGATTAATAATCAATATTTAAAAGTATATCTATTATAAAACTAAACTATCATAACCTTACCTAACCAACCAAACTTGCTGATGGTGAAAAAATCGCAAGAAGGTTTACTAAATCAATAGTTTCAATTGATATTAGCATAGCCCAGTTAAGAACCTGTACTCCTGGGCTATGCTAATAAGTTATCGATTGAAATGATTGATTCGATTAGTAGGCTACCCTAGGACTAAACCTTTATTCGATTTTTTTCACTAAGTAACTTAGCAAGTTTGGTTAGTTGATTAGGTTATGACAGTTTCATTTAATAATTGATATAGACCATGTTAAAAATGTCAATTATTAATCGATAGGTACCAGTACTTATAATTTTATAGGTACTTTCAATCGATATTAACACAGACCGGTTAAGAAACTGTACCCATCGATAGTTTCAATCGATATTAGCGTAGCCCGGTTAAGAAACTGTACCCACTGTGCTTATATCAGGCTATCTACGCTAACTTACTACCTATGTTATAGGGCACTTGACAATAAAAAAAGAAAGAATAACATTTTCTCTAACTTAGGCCAACTTAGGCCTACTTACTTTGTTTGTGTTATGAGTCCAAATCGAGACAGCAAAATGTCACAGTACATTTCAATAAGCTCTAGTGCTTCAACCATGTAATCCTCCCTAATAATATATTCAACCCTTATTTTTGCTCTTTCTGCTTTACCACTAGCAATATAATCTGCAATTTCCTTTCTTGCCTTCTGCGCCAATTCAGTTTTCTTTTTTTCTAATAATTTTAACCTCTCTATCGCTAATCGTAAATTTGTCTTCAGTTTACCGTAGTTTGCATCTGCTGAAAACATTTTGCTCTTTGCTGATTTTACCTATTGATAATTATTTTACACTAAACGACTAAGTTTAAACCCATGAAGTGAAGACTCGAAGACTGACAAGTGACAATACAGGTTAGGAAAATGTATTTCACTACAAAACACAAGGTTGACAAGTGAACAGACAACAGAACAATTAAAATTAGTCATTGCCATTGTTTCCACCATTACAAAACAAATTTACCAAAAATTCTCCACTTTTTTTCTTGGTATTCTGTGGGATTTTTTTTGTATTTTTTACACTGCCTCAAATCAAACGCTTTAAGAAAACCCATAAATTAAAACATACCCCCAAAAAAACACACTAATGTACTTGTGAAACCCCCGGGAGAAGAACGGGATATCATTTTCATGCAATTGATTTTGTTATTGTTACAATGTTATTTCCTTTACATATTTATTATATAAACATGTATTTGAATTTGATGCTACAGTGATTTGAGAGAAATGCGTTTTTTATTTCAAGTCTATACAATTGAAGATGTCCGTATAAGTTATGTCCATGGTGGAAGGAAAAAACATAGGTGTGCTATTCCCACGTATTCTGACGTCACTCGGATTGCAAACAAAATATCACCTGATTGTAACTGTCAAATTAGTATGTATTTGTTTTGATTTTATTGTTTTTGTTTTTATTATTATGAAAACAATAACAACCAAATCAAAACAAATACATATACTAATTTGACAGTTACAATCAGGTGATCTTTTGTTTGCAATCCGAGTGACGTCAGAATATGTGGGAATAGCACACCTATGTTTTTTCCTTCCACCATGAGTTATGTCATTATCTATCTATGGTTATGTAAATATTGCCCGATCCAGAACTTAGGTGTTCTAGAGCGACGCTACTAGCGTTGGCAACACTTTGGTAACAACTATCTGATTGGATGAAAGCAGACGATTACGATATCGCGTTGTGGGTGAAGAGAAGAGAAGAAGTTACTGTTGGTATTGGATGGTATTGGTTACGTGCGGTACGGCTGTCAAATAAGAGTTCTAGAACAAACAAATATTATCGTGTTGGCTATCATTAATTAATTATTGTGCAATATTGTGTATTTTTTTGTTGCCCGTGACTTTGTAAGCAAAGTGTCTGTTGGAAATTTAATCTCGTGAGATTGTCAAAGGTATTCCTAGTCATTAACTTACGTATAATTCACGATACATTTAGTCTAGGCAACAGTCCAAACATTTGAACATCAACCTACACTTAACTTAGCCTAGTAGCACATTGGCTTTTAAAACACTTTACCATGTGTTTTCCTGCATTAAAAATACAATTGATTATGACTTAAAACCAAAGTTCAACCATTGTTACCTTATTGAGGATATAGGCCTAGGCCTCTTTGTGAGCCTCGAATCTCCCAAAACATATAACACTGATTAGGCTATTAAAACACTTCTTACCTAATGATTCGATTTCATCGCTATAACAAGCAACGTCTAGTTTTAGAACTCAAAGAATCTAAACAAATCAGTGATTTTAGTGCGACCTTACTTAAAAGCTTACCAATGTAAGCTGGTGCGCTGAGTCATTTTGAAGATGGCACAGCTACATCAAGGCCCAAACACAACCATTTTGATGTGGTGTCCCATGAGCTACTTGTAGGCAAACTTGAAAAGTATGGTGTAAGATGGAACTGTGCTGAAGTCCTTGTCCTGCTATCTGGCAAGTCGTAGGCAAGTTGTTTCAATAAATGGGGCCTCCTCCTGCATTAGAGACATCTCAGCCGCAAGGTTCAGTGCTTGGCCCCCTCCTTTTTAGTGTAGTGGTAAATGATCTGTGGCTAAATGGTTCCACTCTCCTTTTCGCCGATGACACCAACTTTTTTTGGTTCTGGTAACCAGAGGAAGTTTAAAAGCGCAACTGCACATCGAAGCTGACAATCTTTTAGAGCCAGCCTAAAACTGGTTTACAGCAAACTGTTTGAAAATAAATGCAGAAAAAACCCAGTCCTTGCTTTGCACTCTGAAGCCAATCAAAGAAATGGATGAGGCGGTAAAACTCCTAGGGTTCTCGTTGGATCCCAAGCTAAGCTGGAACTTGCACATAGATAGGGTATGTGCATGTCCATCCAGGGTAATCTGCCTCCTACGGAAACTTGGGCACGTCATACGAGACAAACTGTCTACCATGCTCTATTCCACAGTTATCTTATGTACGGCTTGGTATTTTAGGGCCACTCGTCGGCAGTGGAGGATATCTTACTTCTACAGAAGAGCTGTAAGTTAAGAATATAATGTCAGCCGATCATACAGAAAATTGCAGGCCCTTTTTTACATTTTTTAGCCAGTATGTGTTGAAAATCCTTACACACTACTGAAAATTAATGTTCATTTGTTTGACAAGAGAGAGATCACCAATATGGCATTCGGTAAGCCCTACACCTCGATATGCCACTATGTTGTCTCACACGCACCCTGAAGAGCTATCCTCACAATGCCATAAGTCTTTTTAACACCCTACCAGAGAAGGTGCAGGAGATGACCAGCATCTTTTAAAACGGCCATTCGTAATAGCCTGTTAAAAAGACACTATATAGGCCTACTCTCTGGAGGAGCTGAGCGAAGAGCCCTTAGAAGTTAAATGAGAGACCTTCCCCCATCAAAAGTTAAATTCCGCCACAGCCTAGTTATTTATTTTCTTTGTATGTACAAGTGTTTTAATGTTATATTCGACGCAATCTATCCGACATTGTCGATCCTCGATGCAGGAATCAAGTATCAAATGTTGATGAATGGAAGTATTCTGTTGATTTTGAAACGTCGTCATCTAAGAACAAAAATCTACAATAGACCCAAACTTAGGTGACCATAGGCCTAAAGATCAAGAGTCGGTGTTTTCAAATTGCTAACTTTAATGGTAGGCCTAACTATTTTATTACAGCTGTTAAATTGTTTTTGCCAATTAGTTCAGAAGAAAATTTGGGTCTCTTTTTCAGAAAAAGGATTTAGGGTAAACTGTGGAAAATCCACAGTTAAGTTAAGGTTAGGTGATTTTTGAGTTGTTTTGATTCGTGTGATTAAAGCTATAATCTGACCTAACCTTACCTTAACTGTGGTTATTTCAAAGTTTTAAAAGTGGCGGCCCTCTTCTGAAAAAGACCCGAAATACTAACTTTTTTCTGCCTAACTTATCTTAAGTTACCCAGAGCCAAGAATCGATAGTTAGGCCATGACATCTCCACTTGAACTCAGAAAGTGCTACCGGGTGCAATTATGTCGCCATTAGGAACTCTCTTCATTTTAATATTGTTCAAGACCAGAAATTATGCAATATTTCTGAGGATTTGAGACACATGTTGATAGCTTGAAAATTGAAACGTAATGTCATAAGTATAAATTGAAGAATTTTGTTTTAGTAAAGTTTACTTTAAAATTTTTCTTCCTAACCAAAACAATAATTTTGGGTTACTTTATCAGTAGAAAAACTATTAAAAAGCCAATAAAATAGGCCCATCACCAGGTTTTACTGCAACCCGAGTAGGTAGCCTATTAGCATAATTATATTAATATTGTGGATTTAAAAAATGTCCAATAAACACTTTTTTGAACTAATTGAAAAGTGCAGAGAACAAAATATGTGTTAGTTGAATTGACGCTTCGTGCAAACATAGCAGAATAGGTTTAGAAGAACCCAGAAGCAGAAGCCTGTAAGGTGCTTCTTTCATGATTCCATGCATAGGGCTGCTTCCTCAAACTTATATATATGGGGCTATGCAAATATGTAACCACAGGCTATACTAACATTAAATTTACTGTTCAAAATAAAAATTTAAAGAGTTAGCGTGTTCATTGCACAAAAGTAATTTTCCCCAGGATATTGACTGATGGTAAAATAATATAGGCTAATATGGTAAAAAGTGGCTGCAGATTTTCCAATCGTTTTGTTAGGCCTACATTGTACATCTTGTGATATGTTAGATAAACCCCAAGCGACCACACAAATCTATAAAATTGACATTTATCTGCCCAATATCCTTCATTCGTAAATTATTTTTCAGCATACTGTAATTGCAATTCTTTATTTTCTATATAGATAAAATTAGTTTAATACTATGAGCAAGGTTTCCCTACTTCCTCCTTTGTTTATTTGTTTGCTTGATTTTGTTCAAACTCAGTGCTAACCTATTTGTTTATATGCTTAAGGTCGGTCACATAACTCTATTAAAATATGTTTCAGACATGTTACAAAGTTGTTTGACTTCGGGTAGCTTTCAAAGATAAAAAATCTTATAATAAGGTGTTACATGCTAGGCCTAATTGCTTAGGTATTTTGTAAGAAACTACAAACATCTAATAAGCTAAGTAGTGTCGAGTGTGTTGGAATGTTGGCGCAATGCATCAGTCATTAGCTACAGTAACAGTATTACAGTACAGTAGGCCTAATTGAATCTGGAAGACACAACTGATTTTAACAAATTGTTCTCAATGTGCTTACAACTTGTTTGTCTCTGTCTACTGTCCCTGTAAGATCGAAATTAAGAAAATATTTAGGGCTCTTAAACAAAACAAGGACCTTATAAATAATTTCCATGACCTAAAAATTTAAAATAAATTGAGATTATAAATATCTGTAAGCCTATATAAATATTAATCTGGTTTTGTTACAAGTTATTTTGTTTAGGAAATGTTTTCGATACGATTGTGTGTTTTGCTACATGGATTAAGTGTTGCATTTGGAAAATTCCTTCAGGCCTATATTGGTCAGGACATATCACCTCGTTGAAATTCTGTGTGCAACTTCGAGGTTTTAAAGAATGTTGAATTGAGTGTTCAGTGTTGCAAGTTGAATTTTGTCTATTTCAATGTGTACACGTTGTGTTAATGTTTGTGAAGTCTTGATCTGTTTTGTGTTTGCTTACAGAAATGGCGTGGCAGCAATCAGGATACCCACAAGGTTGATATATTTTGATTTTTATTTATTTTATCACTCATACTTATTTTACAATCTGGTCTGATATGTCGCCTGCTTGATTTTTAGAGCATTAAAATTGATTAGTTTTGCATGATTCTGTTAGATTTTAATCTTAAAAAGAGTATATAATTTTTTCTTGAAGTGCTTGTTTAGTAAGTAATATGGTAATATGCTTCTAGGCATTAATATCCTTTTATTGCTGTAAATTATTTTTTAAGACAGGCTATAAAATGCTATCACAGCTTATAAGCGTATGTGGTTTCTATATCATGTGTTAATATACAAACAAGAATCTTTTATGCTGAAGTTGTGAAAGAATATCTAGAAATATTTAATATATATATTCTAATTTATATAAAGTGGAGAGATGCATTAACTTGTAGTGGTTCCTCAATCCTTTGTTATATCGTTGAATACTCTTACACTCAATGATTATACCTACGGTTTCCATTCTATCAAAAAATATGTCGAAGCCAGAGTTTGATTTTTAATTTTAAAAATTGCTCTTTAGTTGCTCTATACGTTTCAAAACTTTCTTAAACATTCATGGGTCTAGATTGCATTTGTGTAGGTTCTGTAAATCTACATCTTTTACAGCATAGCTGTGGTTTGAGGGCAGGTTTTTTATTTGGTGTTGAAAGAACCTGATTGACCCATGTAAATTCTAAGGCATTTATTACAGTACTTGATTTTGTGCCTTCTAGATCAATGATTTGTTGTCTTTGTGGCTTGTTTGATTTAAACAACCTAACTTGCATGATGTTTTTTTATCAGCTAAGGTGATTTTGTTCCAATTCATTTTTAATGTGCAGTGTATATTATATCCAAACTCAAAAACGAACACCATGTTCCCAGCAACCACAATCTGTTTGCTTTGGTGAATTTCCCAAATAGGGAATAATAGCTATGACCATTAAGTCTCATGGCACAGACAATGGAATAGTCTGTGCTCCTAGTGACCTAGACCATAGACCAGTTGGCTTTTTCATTTTGATGTCCCAAGAGCTGAATCCATTCACATGCATATGCGTCTGTACTCTGTTTATTCAAACACGTTTGTGAACCATTGATAAGACGGTGGGAAGGGGTTTCTTGGGATGATTGGGCTTTCCCATTTTTACTCTCGAATGACAACACTTTACTATTTCTTTGTAAACCATTTTGTAGAGCATTTAAAACAAATAATTTAATATGGAAGCCTTATTAAACGCTTAAGACTTCTTTCACACCAGCGCAGTGCACCCTCGATGTGAGACGACCCGAAATACTGAACTGTTTGTTTTTAAGCTCTTTAAGAAGGTTAAGAGAGAAATTGGTAAATTTTATGTTTTGAGTGATCAAAAATGAGGAAAATCAATTTTTACCTCATAAAACACCCTATAAAATCCCGTTCCCATGATCCGATCATGCTGGTTCGCGAACTCATTCAAGTTTATCCTGTCTTACACCTTCAAACCAAATTTACAACACCTTGACTAAGTCTGTGTAATTTTTTTAATGAATTATATATCGATAACCATGGGAACAATATGTTTTATAAGAAGGCAAGTATTCGCCTGAGCGAGAATGCTCTTCTTTTGGAGCAGTATAACTTAATAAAACTCTGCCGCATTGAACCACTAAACAGTAAACCATGATTTTGAGAAAAAAAGTTATATTTAATAAAGTACTATATAGCCTACTAAGTAACTTAAAATTATCTCTCTAAATGCATTTTAATAGTAATCCTCGGTTAAATAATTAACAATTAATTATTATCGATCATCCCTCCACCTTCACAATTTTAACCTGGAATTAGTGAATCATGATTGATTGTCCAATTTGCAAAAGAAGAATTGGTTTGAAAATAAGAACATCTTGCAGGCAATACTTTATTTCATCACAAATTTAAACATTTCCCTCAATATACATTTTGGAAACTTTGATTCTCATTTAAAAAACCTACACCAATAACAATTCTCATCTTAAATTGCCATCTCACTCAACTACATTTTTCAAAAGATACTTCCATTACAATGGCATTTAAACTTTCCCTCCGTCATCTTCAGCTGGAGTCAGACTAGAACAGCTTTTTTAAAAAGCAAATCAAAAAAATACTCTTGGCCAAGGGTTACTTCAGTGTTCGAGATTGTGTCCCTGATGGGTTATGTTAGGTAGTATTTTTAAAGAAGTATAATTGGTATAGTTTTATTGAAGAACCATTGTTTATTGTTCATTTTTAATTTTAGTTCTAAGATATTAATTGACATGACCAATGCAAATTTTGTATTTGTTATTTTGGTTCAATAATTGAGTTACTAGTTATGAGTTATGCAACGCATCCGCGTCACATGATGGTCAAGGACAAAAATTACTCATCCCCTCTCCTCATCCATCCAATCCGTTAAAAATATGCATTTGAGCGTGAAGGCGTAATGCATAGTAACTGGGGACCGAGCTTTGCTCGGGGAACTTTTTCACTATACTCTGAGAGCATTCTTTGGTCAATTTAAATCTATCCCAAAAATATTATTTTGCGGTCTATCTTTTCTTTACATCTACTTAACTTTTATCAAAATAATAATATGTCCTATCATAGTTTACTGAAATGATTAGAAAGAAGAGTTTTTAACAATTTGTTTGGCTCCCCTAAACGGCCTAAACTATAGAAAATACCCAGTATTTGTCACGCTGAATTCGAAAAAGGCATACTGGCATTGTTAGTATCATCACTGTTCCACTGTTTACAATTTTACTACGTTTGATTTTCTCGATGGAAGTGTTAATTGAACTATATTCCTGAAAAAGGAAACTGGCGAAACACATTAACGGCTTAACGCTGTGTTTTGTCATGTGGGTGGATTGGATTGAGCGTAGTTGGTTGGTTAATTGCCATTTGCCCAGTTCCGTTCTTCTGTACTGTGCGTGTACAGAATTCGCGAAATTGCAGGATGAATCAGAATCAGCTGACATCGTCGTCATCGGTCGTCGTCTGTCGGCTGCAGAGCGAGTGCAGTAACAAAGAGTGTACACTGTACAGTAATCGTGATGCACAGTTGTACGGTTGTACTATCGATCGTATCGATAGAATGAGATCCAATTGTCCAAATTGGAATGGACCAATTACGATTGATCCAATAAGATGTCTAGAAAATTATAATTAATATTTATTTTACTCAAACCCTAAGCAGATAAATTTCAATTTGCAATTAATAAGTTAAGCATTCATTGTCAATAATGCCTAAGGCAAAATCACAACCGCCTAAATGTGATAGGCCTAATTAAATTACTCTCGTCTTGCATTCCAATATGATAAAAATGTTAAACATGTCGGTCGTGCCTGAACAATACAGTATAAATAGGCCTACACAGTTTTTCAAAGACCCATCAAAATTTACTCTTGTGGCTTATGAAAATTTGGTCGACTAATGTCACAACAATTTTTATCTCAAGAACTTTGGCACTGTGTTTACACATCAACATCAACGATATGAACAACTCAGTACTGTAGTTCTTTACATCTTTGGTTTACATTTTTATGCAATTCGCGTGAATGAATACTGAATATCGATTCTGCCGTTCCGAGTTCGATTATGAGATCGATTATCGCTTCTGTATCCCCTTTTGCATTTGGATCCACTTGTATTGCATTGCATTTGCACTATTGAATTGCAGATTGCACTATTGCAGTGCATGTAACGCCGTTAACGGTAACTGACAACTGGAAACTGGAACTGACTGAGTGACTTTTTTTCATTTATTTACGTCACAGATTTCTCCCGCGGCCGCGGCTGTGCATACGCATAGATCAAGTTTCTGTGGTGTTTTTATTTATTTAACACGAGATATCTTTTGACATTTCAAAATTAATAACTCAGTTAATTGGTTTGATCACATTGTTTCTAGTAACATTTTAGCATGAGCTATCAAAACTACCAAGGTGGTAAGTATACATTCATATTATGGTTATTGGTTCCAGAACCATCGAGCCTTTTAGGTTAGGTCTAAAGTAGGTTGTTGGGTTTTATCATGTTCAAGGTCACAGAACAGGACAACCAATAACCAATAAGCTGACGATAACAATAAGTCTTGTTTACCGTTTACCACATAATACAAAATGATTCAGGAAACCATAGTTTTGTTTACCTAGTACAGTAACAATTCAATAATTCTTGGGCCCTATGGCTGGTCAATATTAGTTGTGCAATAACTATAGGCTCATTATGTAACTATACCTTAGGCCCAGAGGCTTTATGAATAATTGCATAACCTACTGCACTTTTTACCTCAGGAATTTTATATTAACTTGAAACTAGGTCTATTAATATTTTTAAAAGTCATAGGTAGTAGCCTACATCTTGTAACCTTATATTGTTTCCATGCTATCAAAACCATGTTTAACTTAAAGAATTACTCATTTATTGAACCAAGTATAGACATATTTACATGTCATTGGTTACGTCAAAATGATGTACAATGTCATTTAGCTTGCAAAATTACGATAATGTAGATAAACGAGGAGTCGCTCACTGAAATTAATTAGTGATGTGCGATACAGGTCAATGTATCGATAGGACGTATCGATATGTATCAGTACAAGTACCGGTATTGTAACTTATCTTCATGTATCGATTTTTACCCGTATCGGCTAAGGTTGTGATTTACACTGTTTTTTAATATACTTATAGGCTATTCTACTTCCATAACAGTGCACGGTTATTGAACCTCACAAGATTGTTTTCTGGTTTATCAAAACATTTCCACACGAATGATCCTTCAGTTTTCGCCAACTTGGTATTGACTTGCCAATCATATATCAAATATATCAGGCTCCTAATCTAGAAAACTATAGCACTGATTGGGTTTGCCAAGTTATTAAGAAATAATATAGACTGTCAATAAGCCTTCCTAAAGCCTACCATTCACAGCATCCCATTCACAGCATGGACCCTATGTAAAATTTGTAATATTTGACTGTAAATCACATTGGGGATTTGTAGCTAATATAATAGGATGTTTGACATGAATTTAAATTTGACACTTTACTCTCAGAACAGGTAGAAAATTTTAAACTTGAATAACATTTTTTACAAAAAATGAACAAATACAATTATACAAGTTCATTTTATCAGCCTCAGTTGTTATCAACATGTTGGAGTAAAAGATCTCAAGGACAACCATTATGTAGCACCTCGTTTAACTCAATTTTATACTGGCTTACAATGTTACTGAATTTTAGTTCACAGCCTATGTTCTTTTCAAAACGACCTGGACTATGCCTATTTGTTGTAATACCACAGACTTAGTCTGTGGTAATGGCTAAAAATATTAGGCTACAGTACAATAACTAACACACATTGAATAAATTTGTTGTGCGTGGAGCTCTGTGCGTTGCTTTCCAGACAACACATATTGACTGTTTAATTTAAGGCAACAACTCAAAAAAACTATGTAGGCTACCAGTTTTGTATAATCAATCCTTTAGGAACGACTTTAGAAATCGGTACCAAAAGTGTTGTCAATAGTAAAATTCTTAAAATCTATTTTGTGATGTGGCACATTTTATTATCTCTTCCAATTTTTTCTTAATTTAACAACCTAATTATTGTTTACTTAATAATTAGGAACTACTTAAATTTTTGTTTTCAATATTTTTTCCATGAAATTGAACTATTCACTGTATTAAGTTAAGTTTGCTAATACAGGGTGATTCTAAATTATTGTGACACTTTTGAAACTCTATAAATGAAAAACTATACAACCTATCATCACTGGGTGCAAAGCAATTGAAATGCACTTAGATTCTTAAGTATTGTTTGACACCACTCTGGTAAACTTAGAGTACGGTAGGCCTAGTTATTAATAGTAGTCATAACTTCTACAGACATTTTTAGATTTTAACCACAATTTTAAATCAATTACACACTTTTACCTCTCTAAATTTTAAAACTTCATACTCTACATTGAATTGTCAAAGGTTAATACTGCTAGGGGTCAATTAGTTCTATAATTTACCGCTCTGTTATTTTTTCCACCATTATTGTAAGCTGCGAGGAACCTTCAAAAAGCAAAAAGAGTTCTGTCTTTTAGAGTTTGGGACGACTTAAATCATCAAATGGGTGCGTACTGTGCAGCCAGAGTGGTCACATAGAGCATTTATAGTTTTTAGCCTAATCTTGTTCAATTTTCTTTCACTAATCACCACCTATTGTGTATATACTTTGTATGCCACGAGTTTCATAGATTTTAAATTGTGTAATTAATTTAAAACAGTACCTAGTTCCGAATCCAAAAATTTCTCTAGAGGCTAATTTTGCTAATTTTTACACAACTATGTTTACCAAAATAGTGTCAAACTAAACTTTAGAATCTCCTCTTTCAATTGATTCTCACTCCGTGATGATAGGTTGTATAGTTTTTCATTTATAAAGTTCCAAAAGTGTATAAATAATTTAGAATCACCCTGTACTTTATTAATCTACTAGCTGGCCCGACAGACGTCTTCCTGTCCTAATGTGGTTTTATGTCAAATGCTCGTTCATTTTCAAGATGAGCTCGTTCCCATGGCTCAATCACGTCCAGGTTGAAGTTCGTTCGCTACGCTCACTCACCTTTAGGTTGGAGCTCATTCGCTACGCTCACTTGCCTTCAGGTTAGCTCGTTCGCTACGATAACTCGCGTCCAGGTTGAAGTTCGTCGACAACAGCTAATTTGCAACCAAAAGGTGATTGAGCGTAGTGAATGAACTTCAAACTGGAGGGTTAGCATAGCGAACGAGCTAACCTGAAGGCAAGTGAGCGCAGCAAACGAGCTCCAACCTGAAGGTGAGTGAGCATAGCGAACAAACTTCCACCAGGAAGTGATTGAGCCATGCGAACAAGCTCATCTTGAAAATGAACGAGCATTTGACAGAAACCCCATTAGGACAGGACGACGTCTGTCGGGCCAGCTAGTTAACAATAAATATAACACTGCCTTAAAAGTAAGATGCAGTAACAGTCTACAGGTACACTGTTAGTAATTAAACAAATAAATAAATAGGCCAATAAAAATATTGTTACATCATTAATTTTATAGCGTAGGCCTATAAAATCTAAAGTGTTTCTATTTGTTATTATTATAGTACTGATATACAAAAATTAAAGCTTGTCAAAAATACTTCTAACAGATTTTTACATTTGTCTTATTAAAACATTCCAAAGTGAAGTTTATTTATCATTTTTTCCTGTTAACAGTTTGCAACACCACAATATACCCTGATGACAAATGACTCTGACAGACATGCTAGATTTGTATCTTTGTAACACCTTCCATGTCATGGCATGAGGTTGTATAGAGCGTGGCAACGCCCTTTCAATCACAGAGTCTTAAGAGCCATTGTAACTACACTACCACTGACTTTCGATTCTAAAGAAATAGACTTGTCGTCCTATTGTAAATTTGTGTTTCATGTTTGATTAGGATTAATCAGGGATGTCATTAAGCTTGTCCTCTTTTACGATTTGTAAATCAATATCCAAAGATAATGAACTCCCATGTACTTGTGAACCAAAATTCTTGTGCATTATTATATTAGAGAGGAAAATCATTTAATACAAGGGTTTTTCAGAAAATAACTTTTAAAAATAAAACAACAAGTTTATACATAAATAAATTGTATGAAAAAGCAATTAAAATACTGCTTGTCTACAAAGTCATAATGTCAAACAAGTTGAATCATTTATCGTAGCGTTGGTCAAGCCTTGAAATTCCTTTCTCGGAAAATTGTTTGTCTTCAATCTCAGCCATTGGCCTACACACAACTGAAACTCCTTATTGTTATTTAAGCGCTGTGCTGCTAACCAAGTCTTCTCTTTTGGAAACAAGTGAAAGTCACTCGGAGCGAGGTCTGGACTGTAAGATAGTTTAGGGGATCCCATTTGAATGAATGAATAAGATCTTGTGTGCTATTCCCCATGTGAGGTCAGGCATTGCCGTACAAAAACAAAATCTTGGACAGTGACTTTCCTCAGTGGTTTTGGATTGAAAAATAGTTCTCAAATTGTTTATAATTTGGCCAATATAAGACTTGTTAGACATTTATGTAAATATATTTATGCAATTTTTCTTTGTATTTGTATTGGCCAAATTTGTTTTCTACTACTAAACACTAAAATTTTGGATTATCGAAATAAAAAAAAAAAGTTTAAAAAGCCAATCTTGTAAAATTGCCAAATTTTACCATAAATAGAATTATTCTATGCAGATTTAATGAAAGCAGCCCAATGGTATGAAGAGCGTACAATGTCTGATTACTCACTTGTCACTCACAGAGTCATGCTATTATCACTGTCTGTTATCTGCTGGCACAGGTGATTAGTTGATTACTCCACATCATTGTTCATCCTCTCAACTCAGTGTTGCCTCGCTGAGTGTGTAATAAGCGTGTTGTATCGCTTTACTTTCTAATTTCTTTTTTTGTGCACCTTAGGTAATTTTATACATTTTTGCCATACCTACTAGCATTTGATGATTCAGTTGATTATTGTGACTCTTGAGTGTTAGCCTAGCTGTGACGTCTTAATTATCGTCTTCAAAATAAGTTCAGGGATTAAAAATATCAATTCAGAAGGGAATATAACCGGTTTGTTATGCTAGCTACCTAGTGCTCAGCTCAATCATACAGTAAATTTTGTGTTTTATTCCTACCTTGTTGGTTGGTATTTAAATTATATTCGAAAACATTCAAGAAAAATGATACCAAAGTAAAGAATACTGAAGTTGAGTTGAATTTGGAACTTTTAAGTACTGTAATGTTTGTGAGCAAATTTGACGCTGAATATTTGTACAATTTTTTCTAGCTGTAGCATAACTAGGACTAGGCCTAAAGATGTAAGATGTAGAAAGATCTGTAGAGAAAAAGAGCTCTTGTTTCTAGTACTGTACCACAATTTAAACAAGTTAAGCATAAGGGTGAGTCGGTGGCTCAGTTGGTAGCTTCACGGACTTCGGGCCCAAGGCAGCAATGTCGTGGGTTCGGATCCTGGTAACTGCCGCAAACATTTTATCAGTACAGTTCACCTTCTTACTATATCGGCTCACTCCTTTGCTTTGCTGGATACGTTCCACGCACATATCTGTAGTCTATGTGGACGGGAAAATGCAAGGTTAATAGAGGCTGCCAACCTCTTTTATTAAAAAACAAAGTTTATGAGAAACTGAATATTTAGTCGAATGAATTGCCGAATCCATTTTAGTCATTATTCACTGTCCCAACTAGTAATATTACCTGATGATGTGATGATAAACTGAATAGCATTTAGTTAATAGGCCTACCCACCTTTCCTTCTTGAAGTTTTCTCTAAACTATGTTATATTTTAACAAATTCGGTGATTTAGAGCACATGAGATATCACTGTTATCAGTGAAGAGATGTCTACATTGTCATTAAACATTTCTTCACCGCTAAAGTATACTCAATCCAACGTTTTACAAGCGTTTGTCATTTTCTGGTCAGTTCCGATAATTAAAATATAGAGTAAATTAGCTCCTCAATTTAAAACAGACTCTTTTATTTACAAGATAAAAAAAAAATTTTATTAGGATTAATTTAGGCTAGTAATTTGATCTAAAACAAGAATATAATCCAATAAGGTTTCCTTGCAAACAAAAACAATGTTCCAATAGTTTTAAGACAATGAGCCTAAATAGATTTCTCGTTTATTTACTTCTGACTGCATGCATGAATCAATTTCAATTTAAATTCAGTGTAAAAGCAACATTTTTCCAACATGAATTAAAAGTTAAGTTTTTCTATAAACTTGTACGGCAGTTGTGTTGGCCTTATTCTGATGTTAGTTTGTTTCCGCAGGCCCCCCACCACCCGCAGGGTTTATGCCCGGAGGCTACCCAACTCAAGGAGGCTACCCAGGATACCCGACACAACCCGGATACCCACCAGGCTTTCAGGTACGGTACCAGTTTTACTGATAGTAGGATATCACTTTGGATACTGATGCTCTAATTGAGGGTATACCAGATGTCAAGAATAATTATGTTATTGCTTTGTCTTTAGAAAAACAATTTATTGTTTAAAGAAAAGAAGTCGCAATAGAACGACTTTAAACACTCAAGGAGACACATTTTATTCAGGTTTAAGTGTGTCTACAAGGGGCAAAAATTGATATAACCAAAGAAAGGTTATTTTCAATATTAAAAGTTAAAAATAAGATAATTGTAACTGAAATTCATATTAAAGTTGTCTAGTTCTTTGAATGAATGTTTGGGCCATATATATACATGTGGATGGATTAATTAATTTTAAAAACTACTAAAATTTTACTATTTTTGCTTTTTTTCTTCTTTTAATGTTTTTTAGCAATAATACTACCATTTCGTTTGGAACTGACAGTTGGCGTCTGTTTCCATGCAGTTCTAGCAGACAGACATAAATCATTGTGTTTGGACGTAGAGTGTTTGTTTGTAGTTTGCATTGTGCAACAATCAACGTCTTTAGCCACAAACCCTTTGCCTCTCCCTGTGTTGGGTCTGCCCTTTCAAATAGCCATGAGTGAAAAATAATCATCATGGTTGACAGTAAGAATTTTATATATATAGATAAATAAAAACATAACCAATTAACTTGGTACCGAAGGTATCGGTACCGACATTTCACCATCGATTCTCGGTCCTGGTGGGCCGGTACTTTTCCCAAAAACCGGTTGAACCGACATTTAACATTAAGTGCCGACCTATCACTAGTTAGGTCGTTTCTCTTTTTCTATCTTTTTCTAAGATACATTTTGGATTTTTAGGCCATTTCAGTTAATTGGCTATTTTAGTTGAGAGAAGTTATACTGCCTTGTTGTAATCCAATCTATCAGTTATAATTACTGTATCCAACGTTTTGTCTTGTATTCTAAAAAACATTTTGCCCCTAGAATATTCTGTTAACAGATTTTGCCAAAGATCTGTCGGTACTTTGGTATTATCCGGAGGCCATTTATTTTAAAGGTATTTTTTTAACAGAGACCAAAAATAACTATATAATTGCTAATTGGAAAGAACATACTCTTACTGTCCAAATTTGGCATCATTAAGGCCCGTTTTGCCAGAAGCGTCTCGTGCGTCTATCGCTCAGCGATTATCGCTCCGCGTCTATCGCTGCCCACTGCTTTGCATTGTTTTAGGTTAGTCTATTTTGCCAGAAGCGTCTATCGCTACAGCCGCCAGCGTCTGTAACTGAGACGCTAGCGTCTGACGCGGACCACTGCTCCTGGAGCAGACGGAGACGCAGTCGCTAGCGATTATTACTAAAATAAGCACATGTATAGTTGTTGACTTAACTTTTGTTTCTTTAAATAAGTTGTATTTTCAAGTTTAGTGACATGTCACAATCAAATTGGGGATTCAATAATGAAGAAGATAAAAAACTGAAAAAACTAGTGAAACTTGGTCTCGTCAGAGCGGAGGTGATTTTCAATTATTAATTTAAAATATCCCTCTTCAGGTCTCTAGACATACTACGCACTTCTTCCCTAGGTTTACACAACATTTCTAATATCTCTTTATCGTCTAATCCTCAGCTAACAAATACTTAACTATTTGCTTTTTACAGTTCATTTTCAGAAACACTCCTTTCGCCATCAAAGTAAACCATTCACTGATCAAATAATCGCAAGGAACAGACGCTTCTGGCAAAATAGACCCGAGCGATAGACGCTGAGCGATTATCGCTCTAGGGATCATCGCTGAGCGTCAGACGCACCAGACGCTTCTGGCAAAACGGGCCTTTACAATTAGCGGCCCATGAGCTCTGCCTTCCAGAAGGCAGCGATGTAGGCGAGGATTGAGTTGAATGTGTCTCGCTCCCGCTAGCTGCCACATTTACTCCGCCAAGTAGGTACAGTATTTAGCGCGCTGTGGCGGTTGGCTTATCATAAAATATGTTTGTAGGAGTTTCCTCGTTTTGTTATGAATCGAACGATACCAGATGAGTCGTCACTCAGGACACTGACCCATATACGTAAAAGGTATTGCGCGCGCTCCGGTCAACGACCTGACCTTGGCCTACTTGGAGGAGATTTGGCAGGCGAAAGTATGACTCATCTGGTATCGTTCTACAAGTCCTACAAACATATTAATGATAACCCAACCTAACTTAACCACCGCAGCAGCGCCCGCTGTATAAGGTTGGCCTCCGGATAATACCAAAGTACTGATCTGTCTCTTGTTTTTTACACTAAAATATTCTTTTACCAGTAAGGGGTTTTTATCTTCAGACACTCTATAAAAATGTGGCATGTACACTCACAATTAGAAAGACAACAATATGTCACCAGTTATGAAAAAATGGTAAACACTATGTTTTCAACTAAAGAATCAATTTAATACTATACTTATTTATTAAGGATTTAAGTTTTATCTTTTAACAACTGTATGCTTGGCGTAGCCCCCGCCCCCTGGAAGCGGTTATCCTCCCGGAGGTTTTCCAGCTCCTCCTGCATTCCATCTCCCCCCAGATATGAGCAACGTAGAGAGTGGGTATGGCGGCGGTGCCAACTCCGGCGCCTTCGCCTTCTCAGACAAATCTATCCGCATGGGCTTCATTAGGTAAGTTGCATCAGAACATTTCCTGATCAACGATAGTCAAACTTTAGGAAAGAAAACAACTAACTTCCCCCCCCCCTGGCCCGGTGGGGCTCTGTGTGTATTGTTCAGTTTTGGTGATGGTAAGTTTATGTTGCTTGATGGATTGTTGTGGATTTTTTTAAATTACAATTAGTAAAAACTAAGTTTTTTTTAACTTTTCTGAAATTGAATCCCATTCTCAGGTGTGAAAGAAAGTAGTTCAAGTGAATTGATCTGGACTATCAAGAGTTTTGAATTATCAAGAGATTAGATTTATTAAAAAAGCCATTCAAATTACAAAGAACTCATTATTTTTATTATGTAAGGTACAGAAAGTTACAATGAAACAGTTTTTTTTTAATTTTAGTTCTAAAATCTGTTATTTCTTTTTTTTACAAGACTTGCATCATAGTTGACATAATTTAACAAAAAAAGAGTGTGTCAAACACTTCTTCTGTTTGAAAAAATTTGAAACGTTTTCATTACTTCTGACTTCTGACTTTACTCTACCTCTTTCTACAGCTACGATCACTTCTTTTTTCTGCAATCAAAAGAAACTCGTATTCATGTTTAGTTGCCATGACAATACCACAAATACAGTTTCAACCATGGTTCCACATAACAAATACAGCTTCAACACAACAAACACAGCGAACCAAAGAACTTACTTGTACAAGCAAACACTGTCTGATAGGATGTTTAGTTTCCTGTTTATTACTAGTTATAAAAAAATACCAAATAGCCAAATATGTTTGTTGTTTTGTAAATTATCTAAGTGTCTGTGATTTTACAGGAAGGTGTACAGTATACTCATGGTCCAGATAGCTGTCACTGTCGCAATAATTGCTCTTTTCACATTCCACGAAGGTACAAAAGTCTATGTCCGAACCCACCCCGGACTATGGTATGTATAAACCTAGCAAGTTTACCATACATGTTAATTTTAGTGCTATCAGCAAAAATACTTTGGTAACATTCAAACATAGTTTTTTTTTTTTATTGTTGTAATAGTTTTTACATTTTAAAATCACATTTATAGTGTTGGCCAATTAAAATTGTAATACCATGAATCACACTATTTATGATTTCTTTAAGTAACTATCCTACTGACAATTTGTTTAGCTACAGGAGTTTTTTAACAATCATAGTTAAGACTTGGTATATCTTAAAAGGTATATAATTTAAATAGTGCAAGTAGGTAGACTTGTCATTTTGTTCTAAGATCTGAAGTCTGATGGTGTTTCATTTTTGTTATGTTTGAGTGTGCTGTCGGAGTGTAGTTGACTAAATGTTTCTGTTTTGTATAATATTGTATGATGTTTTGAATAAAAGGGATACTTTCTAGCTTGCCTTATGGGGAAGTGTAGGTAGGCCATAGAACAACAGTAGGATCTTGATACCTCCAAAATGCAAAGGTTTGAGAAGGTGTAATACAAAAATTTTGAGATCCTGAGTGTTGAATTCTGACTACGATTTTATGTCACGACCTTCATAACTCGACTTTTACACACTATACCTTTATAGCTTGAGCCCAAGCTATTTCTATGTACTGAAGAGTAACTGTAGAAGCAAGTTAATGAACTTATTGTGAATACATGTTAGAGTAATATGTAGAGATTGTAATTTAGGATTAACGTAAGTCTAACCTTTTACATGTTAATTTATATTAAACTCGAGACAGATTTTTCTGTCTTGTGTATGTAAACATTGCCTAACAATCCACCTTTAGCCTTGAACTTTTCTTGGTTTTCCAAAATCCGTGGTAAGATTTTAGGCAAGATTCCACATTCCCAAAGGATTTTCACTTTTTTCTTTAACACGCCATGAACTGACGTGTCAATGTTTAATGTCCACACAGGTAAATGACGACATGACGTCCGACGTCAAGTTAGATATTTATAACTCACGTGTTCTTGTCTTAAACCCCCGCAAGTAAGGCTAGGTCTAAATATCTAAAGCAATGCGCCATGTTACAATTGAAGTTACCCTTTTCTATACTGTAGTTTGTCATGGGGATCACTTGCTGGGTCGTAAATAACATCTACATAACGTTCTGTAAAACTAGATAACAAATTTTGTGTGGGTTCACCGAGAAATCTTGTCTGCTGAGTTATCTGAGCCGAGTTTGTGGGACTAGACTGTATTATGTAACAACAATACACCCTACATAATTTGAACAGAAATATACCTTAAAACTGTAATCTGCAGCTGATTGATAAGGGAGCAAGTTTGATCTGTACTGCCATCTACTAAGGGTTTGATAGACGTGTGTTTGTGAAGGTGGTTGGCTATGATCTTCATGTTTGCCACAATGATCACTCTGGCATGTTGCGGAGATGTAAGACGCAAGGCCCCGATGAACTTCATTTGTTTGGGAATCTTCACTTTGGCCGAAGGGTTTCTACTTGGCTGCGCCACATCCATGTATAAACGCGAGGAGGTAAGTTTTATTAAGCCGTGTTATATTAGCTGAGTTAAAAACCATTTAAATTAGAGGTACATTAAACATCCAATGGTACAGTAAAATGAAATTTGTATTGTAATTTGAAACAGTAATTTTTTTATTACTCGTACTCTACGTTTTACATCCAGTAATAGTGTTTTCATAACCTCTTTAAATATTAAGATTATGTAATCAGTGAGTCATTAATAGTGACTTAACAATAGTTCCCAGAACCCTAGACCACTAAACCTAACAGTAACAATATCACAGACCACCATTTTTGCTAGACACCAATTCAAGTTTATATCAATATTAAAAGGCAATAAAAAGATATTAATACAAATGTAAATTTCATTTTTGCAAAATTTGAGCAAAAATTACATTTTTATCATTAAATCAATATAAATATTTGTTAGAATTATATGTTATCATTGCTCAGTTATTAAAGAAAAATTACACACATTTTTTAGAAAGATTTAATATAAATACAGACTTTACATGTTGTCATTTTGTAGCTATGATTTTAGTGTAACTTCAAATTTGGAACAATTATTTGAACTATGAAATCCATTCAATAATAATTATTTGTCACCCCCAAGTCCCCGTGGACCTCTCTCTACCAAAGCTCTTGCGGACCATCTTTGGTTTGTGGACCACCTGTTGGGAACATGGGAACCCCTGCTTTATAAATATGTTTATTTTACAAAAGTCGCAGTTGAGTAGTTTTGTCATATAATTATTTTTCCTTTTTTTATTGAAGATTAAAAGTTCTTTGAAACTTTATCTTGTACTATCAAAAACCGGTTAATATGTTTAACTTGCCTATTTCAAACTTCTTACTTTCTCTGTAAGTATTTTCTGAAAACGAAATATTAGGAAAGATGTTTGTTAGTGTGTCTGATAAACTTTGGCTGCTAACCATAGAATTTGTCTGGTTACCTCCTTATTTCCTTTTATTTTTCCTGTTGCTTGTCCTGTTTTATTTTCTTCTCTATCCTCACGTCCTTTCCTACCTACACTACCGTCTTTCTTGCCAATTTTATCCAAATTATCAAACAAGCTGAATATCAAAAACTTTCTGATGAATAATTTAACTCATTTTCATTTTCCAGGTGTTTTTTGCTGCTCTTATTACTCTTGTGGTAGTTGTCGGGCTCACCTTATTCGCTTTCCAAACAAAGGTCGATTTCACTGCCATAGGAGGAATATTATTTGTCGCCGTCCTAATTTTGATGGTGTTTGGAATCATATGTATGTTTTTCCCTGGAAAGACAATGATTCTTATCTACTCTTCGTTCGGAGCTCTTCTCTTCTCCGTTTACATTGTCTACGACACGCAGATGATGCTGGGTGGGGATCACAAGTATTCCATTTCTCCTGAGGAATACGTTTTTGCTTCTCTCAATCTCTACATGGACATCGTCAACCTGTTTCTGTACATTCTCACCATCATTGGAGCATCCAGGGATTAACCTAGTCACATTCCCGTCATTGTAATATATGTGGCTTTCACTTGAAGACTGTTTGTTGTTTATATGTGAATAAACACATAGATTACATAACCTCTGAATATAGTACACACTAGTAAACATTGTACAGCCATTGTTAAAGTTTAATAAAAGCAAATCTATCTTTTTCCCTCTAAGATTCTTGTGATATAACCTATTTTGTTAGATTCTATTAATAATATTAATAATTATATTTATATACATGTTCGTTCCTAGTTCACTGTCTGTTTGGTCTGAAACAAAAGTTTGGTGTTAAACAATGATTTGCATTTTGGAAGGAGGATTGTGTTTAGAGAGAACCTGAGGTTAACCTAGTGTTAGTGTAGTATATTGTAATTATTATGTTGAATTGAAATTCGTAGTCACAATTTTTATTTGACTAACAGCAACCATTGCTGTGTTATTTACTTCTGCAAAATTTGACATCAAAATAATATGCTGAATTGCTGCATTGTGCAAACATCATTACACAATCTGCCTTAAGCCACACTTTTTTTATCCTCGGCCGAGATGCTAGAAAAATATTTTAATGTAGTTGTTTTATGATGAAATTGTATGATGTGTATCCCAACCGTATGTATTTGCTGTAGTATTAATTTTTGTATCAATAAATTATTGTGTGTAACACCAGAACCTTTTTTCTATACCTTTCTCTCTTATAGCTCACTAAGGTGAATGAATAAAGACTGCTTTACAGTATTAAAATACTATTTTACTTGGTATAAAATAAAGTTTCATTTACATTATAAAAGTAATAATGCTTTGATTTTTTTAGAATATATTATTTTGTCTCGGTAAAATTACCAAAATTCTTGCACCCACAACACGCCATTTCAGATGTTTTTCCCGAAGTTTGCTCTTCTCAGCAGATATGAAAAATATAATTTTTTAGGTTATGATTTTAGCTTATGGATTTAAAAATACATAGTGTTGTGGGAATAAAACTTCCCCAATAAAGACAATGTAGTTTTTAAAAATATTGCTAGTCTACAAAACATAAGAATTAAATTGAATTAAAATATTTCAGGTGTTTTATGCAGCCGCTATAACTCTGGTGGTAACCGTGGCACTGACCGTGTTTGCATTCCAGACATCAATAGACTTCACAGGCCTTTGTGGAGTCTTGTTCATAGCCACGATTGTTTTGCTTGTCATTGGTATCCTGATGATGTTTTTCCCAAGCAGAACCTTAAAATTCATCTATGCAGGATTCGGAGCGCTCTTGTTTTCAATTTACATAATTTACGATACACAAATGATGATGGGAGGAAATCACAAGTACTCTATAGGCCCTGAAGAATACATTTTTGCAGCTCTGAACCTGTATGTTGACATTGTTACATTGTTTTTGATGATATTGCAACTTTTAGGACTACTCGGGAGCAGTGATGATTAGTGATGATTGTTATCAAAACAAAAACCCAATTAGTTTAAAGCTATTGATGTTAAAATATAAATTACTAAATATGCTTGTTATATATTTCTTGTATATATTTCAGTGGATTTTCATTTTTCTGATTGGATTTTCACTAAAGTTTTCTTAAATGTACGCCAGATTTATTCCCAATTCAAAAAACAGTAGGTTTTACGAGAACTAAGGTTTGCTGCTAAAGAGGGATTGTGAGAAGTTGTGTTTTAGTAAAATGTTATAGTTTAGTATAAAATAAATAAATCTGTCAAATGTTATTTAAAAAAATCATACAGTTTATAAAATACCCCCACCGCAGCAAACCTGCAAACTAAGCAAATTTCCATTTGCCTGATTAGATTATTCTCTGAAATGTCTCCTGAAAAAATCACATTTAAATTCCATATTTAAATAGCATTAGTTTAACGAGTACTTGGGTTTGTTGCATCAGGAATGGTAAACAAGTGCTTTTGTAAAATGTTAATAGTTTAGTATGATTTAAAAGCATTTTCCATATTGGATCAAAATAATGTTAAAACAAGCAAATTACAACAGTTTATTTATTTTCCTTAAGAATAACATGGAAATTTGAAATTAAAATTTTGTTGGAATTTTCTCCGTAGCCATCAGGCCTCAATATACTATATTAATATTTTATATTAATTTACTAAATTAATTGTTTTTTAAGCTCTACAAAATGATTTGTAAAGAAATTGCTAAATTTTATGTTTTTATGGTCCAAAATGGGAAAACCCAATTTTTACCCCATAAACCCCCGTTCCCATAGTCCGGTTAAAGTAAATGTAGGTTAAAAAAATTAGGCTAAATTTAATCAAAATCGGGTCATTTTAGATAGTTATCGTGCTAATGGACACACACACATATATATGTATATGCGGCAGGAGATTATCGATGGTTCAAACAATTTTTATAACACACAGCAAAGTGTAAATATCCGCGCCAGAGCTGCAATTAATTGGTGTAATTCTGTGAACAAATTATGCCCTTATGGTGACTGGTGAGGATCCTCATTGCGGCTACAAGGGAATTATGCATTTATACTCAAAACCGGCCCTTACTTTAAAATACCCCCGCCGCAGCAAACCTGCAGACTAAGCGAATTTCAACTTGTCTGATTACATTTTTACTAGAATATTTCCATAAAATATATGAGTATTTGTACTATGCTGCAATGTAATTGGACGGAAGTCTGTATTGTAGCATTTAAATAAATAAATAAATAAGACATATTTATTCCCTATTTAAATAACATTATATTTAACGAGTGCTTAGGTTTGCTGCTACGGGGAAGGTAAAAAGTGTTTTTTGACTATACGTCAATAGTATAGGATGAAATAAATAAATTTGCCAAATTTTATCAATAAATATATCCATAAACAAGTAAACTACAACGATTTTCATTTTCTCCATAAGAATAACATGGGAATTTTAAATTACACTATTTTTGAATTTTCTCCGTGACCGTTAGGCATACAACAGCGCTTCAATATACTAAATTATTTCTTTTTTTAAGCTCTACAAAACGGTTTAGGAAGAAATTGCAAAATGTTTTGTTTTTAGGGTCAAAAATGGGAAAAACCCATTTTTACCCCATAAAACCCCCCATAAACCCCCGTTCCCATGGCCCGATTATGCTGGATCGCGAACTCGTTCGAATAAACGTAGGATTACACGTTTGTACCAAATTTCATCAAAATCGGATCATTTTTGCTCGAGTTATCGCGCTAACGGACACATATATAAATATATATATATATATATATATATATATGAATTTAAACGGATGGTGTTTTTGGTCTCTAGGGACCTCAAAACGAAAAAGTAAATCGGTCCCGGGTCCAGGTCTTACCATGAGTACTACGGTAATAGCTTATTCCCTATATGGGAAATTCGCTAATATTCCCTATATGGGAAATTCGCTAATATTCCCTATATGGGAAATTCGCTAAAACCACCCTCGTATATCCATCAATTGTTCAGACAAATCAACATAAAATCGCAAGTTTTGAAGAAGCCTGATACAGACCCACCTATAAGGTAAGTAGCAATATCCCATTCAAATTAAAAAAAACAACTCCAGACACAAATGGGAGAGGCGAGTACAAAACGAAATCTACATTGTATATAATTTTCTGTAAACTACCATGAAATTATCAATACGTAGGCTACTTGGTTGGTTAGCCGAGTGTTATAGCATTTATATAGTCAATGGTTAGTGCTCGCCTAATAATCAAAAGGTCACCAGGTTTTAGAAAAGCCAGTAGCTTTTTGATAGTTCAAAACTGGACCCAGGTATTCCTGATCATTGGGCATTAAATAAAAGATCCTAGTGAATCAGCCGATCTTACAGACAATTCTACACCATTCTACACTTATATTTAGGTTACATGCGTACATAGGTGTCGTCCTCATCTCAATAATCGATAATTGATTCACCGATAGGTTTTTTTTTCAATGATTTGAAGAGCGTAAAAGTATCATAACAACCCCACATCAAAAGTAGCTGAAAACATAAACAAAACTTAACTCTCAACACAATTTTAACGACTCCCTCACTACTCTAAGCAAGGGGCCGTCCTCATCCTCATATAGGTACCTAACAAGTTTTTTGGAATTTTTAAACATCTCCCCTCCCCTTTGTGATGATGCATAACGCAAGCTATCGATATTTTTAACAATGCTGTCATACATTTTTTCAAACAAGGTTGTGGAGTATCGGAGTATGAAATCTAGGCAAAACTTCCTGCTGATGAAAAAAAACGTTTAAAATTGTTTTGAAGTAATTTTGTCAATAAAAATTAACATTTTAAGAACAAACTTAACAGCTTATTTGAACATATGCAACCAGACGTTAACAATAAAAAGTTATTTAAAAAAATCAGCAATTGTATTCTTAAGTGTTTCGTTCATACGCCCACAATTCCCACATTGGGGATGTTCAATAAAAAAGTGAACCATGGAAGAAGGACTGCGGGATATGATTAAAATTTTGCCGCAATCGCGGCCACCATCAAGTACGGTAAGTTAATCTGTGACCACGACGAGATGGACAGGGGGGAGCGTCAGGGGGTATAGAAGAAGTGGAGGAGAGCCAAGGCGAGGCCGGCCGCACAATTTTTATTTCAGCTGCAGTTATTTTAATAAGAACAAAATGAGAGCATTCTATTGGCTGAGGGAACACCATTAGCGCAATGAAACGGAATGAAGCCATCGGTCTCGGTGGTCTAGTGGATAGCGTGCCGGGCTTCGAAACTTATGGTACAAGGTTCGAAACCCATCGGGGGCACAAGCTTTTTGTCTAAGATTTTTGCATTATCAGCAAGTTTGGTTAGTTTTGTTAGGTTATAACAGTTAAATTTTATAACTAAAACCTTATAAAATTGAATTTGAGCTATTTATAGTTTTATTTTATGAACAGAACTTTTTTTCGATTAGTAAACCTTCATTCAATTTTTTCATTATCAGCAAGTTTGGTTAGTTTGGTTAGGTTATCACAGTTTAATTTTATAATTAAAAAATATAAAATTTAATTTGAGGCATTTATAGTTTTATTTTATGAACAGAATTATTTTTTTCTATTAGTAAACCTTCATTCAATTTTGTCATTATCAGCAAGTTTGATTAGGTAGGTTAGGTTATGACAGTTTAATTAAAAAATTAACTATATATTTTTGTTAGTTTTAGGCCTACAATAATTTTTTTTAATTTCTAATTTTTAAACTCTCATTTGGTCCGTATTAAAAAACTGCAGCTGAAATAAAAATCGTGCAGCCCGGCCAAGCCTCTGACACAGAACGACAAAACGGGCGATGGTGAGGAGGAACGAACCGAGTGTGACGGGTGGTTTTGGTTGTGGACACGTTTCAATCGAAATTTTATTATTTTGATCATTTCACACTAAGCTGTCAACACTTCGATGCTGTCTTGTAGTACTGCCATTTTTGTTGATGGTTGTCCAATGTTTTGATAGATGAAAGCGGACACATACCTCCAGATTGCTGATGGAGGCCCGGCGGGGACGGGTTCGCTATGACGGCCCGGGCCATGCTGGCGGCCCGCCCACCCCGGGCCGCTTATAAAGCCCTGCCCCACCGGGCCCCCACAATTGACCCGGGTCGATTTGGGACACCCGGGCCGATCGGGCTCGCCTACAGTGCCCGGGCCTAACAGTACCGGGCAGACCCGGCGGGTAAGGCGT